TAAATAAGCCCGTCTCCAGCAACGTTTCCAGTTTTTGTTGTTGTTCAATTTTTATTTGTTTGCTGCAGCGACGCGGAGCACTTTTCATATCCTTTTTTCTGGCTGAAGCACATTTGTTTCAATCTATAAGAATAATCAGCCTACACTACCAGTCAAAAGTTTTTGAACAGTAAGATTTTTAATGTTGTTTTTATTTTTTTTTATTTTTTTTAAGAATTCTCTTCTGCTCACCAAGGCTGCTGCATGTATAATTTCTATTATTTTTTTGGGAAAGAAATTATAGAAATTAATACTTTTATTTAGCAAGGATGCTTAAAATTGATCAAAAGTGATGATAAAGGCATTTATAATGTTACAAAAGATTTCTATTTCAGATAAATAGTGTTCATATCGATATCGGAATTATATCGTATCGACCGAAATTAAGAAATATATCGTGATATCAATTTTGGCCATATCGTCCAGCCCTATTTATAAACAGTTAATTGAATAGATTTCCCGTTGTACAAGTATCACTGTAAGTGTATAGAACTGAACTTGTGTTGAATCTTAATCAAAATCGTACTGTCTGCTTAGTTTTCTCCGTGTTTTAAAACCAACTGAGATCTGAGGGTACATGGGGCATGCCATAGTTTAGGAGGGGAATAAATTAATCAGAATGCCATGAACCCTATAATAATGATCATTACGAGTGTCTTGGAAAGAGAGCTTTCACATGCCTGCTGGAGAAACAGAGAGTCTCTTATATGAGCACATCTGCTCTGAAATGTCCATGACACTGGCCACAATGTGCTGCATTGGAGTCCCAACACCACCCTAAATCTGTCTGATTGAATCTTCTCGTTATGGCCTGGATATTTCAGGAGTGTTTTTCACCCACCCTGTGACTTCACTTAGATAATCCAATCACAGCCAACATGGAAGGAGACAATGTGCTTTAAGAGCACAGCAGCACAGAGAATAAGCAGCCATTTTCACTTATTACACCTTGGGTGATACTTATTACTTTTTGGGTAATAGTTTTTTGTTTTTTTGAAACATTATTTCCCATATTTTCCACAATCTGAAGGAACAGCTCAAATAAAAGAAAGAAATAAAAAGCACGAACAGATATGCTAAATATATAAAAAAATAAATACAAAAACATCTAAATAAATAAAGTTTATTCTTATGATACTCTTATGATAAAATGGTACGTGCGAAAATTATTTAGGCCTAGTTTAAGATTTATGTATTTGAATTGCTTTAAAAAAATAGCCATTTTAAACATTTTTACATAAAATAATAAACTTAATATGATGCATATTTGCCTGTTATACATAAATGAAAAAGGAAAGAAATAGGTAAGATTTCTGTAATAGTACTAATAAACTGAATGTGTTTTCAATACACACTAACCAGGTTTATGTATTTATCATCAATAAATCCAATCTGTTTTACACAGTTATGTTTAATCATGTTCATAACTGAATAAATGTAATTGTTTTCATGATGAACAGATTTATGCTGACTAAACAATTAGGATAAATGCATTTTGAAAATATGATTACTTAATTAAACCAAATAGAAGCAAATAGTTAATAAACTATGCCATCATTTTTTAATAAATAATTATAATCTCATTTATTTACGTATGAGTGATAGTTTATTAGTTTATGTTAAAACTGCGTAAATGGAAATCTTATATGCAACTTAAATACATAAATCTTACATTTACGTATGTATTTGAGAAAGAAATGAGGCCAAAAAGGGCATCCATATCTTTTAGAACTTATTTGATTTGTCTGTGTGTGTGTGTATATATATATATATATATATACTCAATCACTAATCTGCCACAATAAATTGCTTTTCTGGCAGCAAAGGTTAATATATTTTAGAATTTTCTCAGATGGAATGACACTAGATCTAATTCTAACTGATGGATGCCAGATATTAAATTAAATTTGGTGTTTTACAGTAATAAACAGCTGACTACTCCCAGGTGTTGAAAGCGATGCAGTACCACTCTGACCACTAGATGGCCCTCCAGCAAACTTGCATTGCTCTTTCAAAGCCTGCGAGCTCTTTGACGGACAGAGCCAAGTCCCTCCCTGCCCGACAGCTTTCACAGGCTCCGCTCTGCATGGGAAAGCTGCTGGTGTGAATCTGAAACGGGGGCAGTAAGAGGACGTGCATATTTCCCTAGCCCCAGGTTCCTGCCTCTCCTGGCCGCTGCATTGGAAAAGCGCATCTGAAGATGGCAGGGAGTAAAGCAGCGATAAAGAGCACACCTTGTGCTTCTCTGTGGAAGGGGAGATTTGAGAGACGGGAATCTGGCTGCACGTGTGTATGTGTGTGTGATTGGAAAAGAGTCAATCAGAGGGAGGTGTTGCAAGTCTGACTATAGAATAAAAAATACTAGGGAATGTGAGTGTGTTACTTACATGTGCATTCATCTGTAAATTATACAGCGAAATGTAAGTGCATTGAAATTGTGCAACCAGGTGTGAGCAAGTGCCTCTGATTGAGTTTGTGTGTGTGTGTCTGTGTGTCTGTGCGCGTGTACAGGTGTACGTTTCTTGCCTTAAAGTCAAAATGAAATGGTGTTTAAAACCTATTTCTGTAATGTGATGTATTTCAGGATATCAACATGAAGAAACTACAGTAGCCTACATATTAAATTCAATAGGTCAAAATAAAGAGTGCTTTTTCATCCTCTTATGTAGGACTTACAGTAAGTACATCTTTACATGTAATTTCATAATTTCTTATATTGTCTTTGAAATATTAGCTATGTTTTCATCCACCTATTTTTGTGCGCCAAGATGCACATCAATTCTAAAAATGTGCATAAAAAACTTATGCGCTCAACTAAGTAGGATACATTTCTTATCCAGTAAGAAAACATGTGCATAAACTACGATGGAAACACTTTTACCGAATAAATTCCTTAATGCGCATCAAAAAATTCATGTGACTTTGCGATGGGACAGCATAACTGGACCAAACAATGGACCTATCTCATTGCACAGCATCTGAAATGCTAGTTTTGTCATTCTAATATGCTTGAGCAAAGTCTTGTCAAAGTGCTTTGTTATAATTAACTCCAAGAACTGCGTTCCCAAACAGCAGGCTCTGAAAATAAGATAACATGACCGTGTTTCATATGCGCGCTCTGAAGCTCATAATTTATTATATACACAAATCATTATATATAGTACCTTCTCCTACTGCAGCAAATTCAGTTTTTCTTTGTGATATTTTGCGCAAGTTAATCAGGAAGTGACGATTTTGTTCTCTTCAACTCCCTGGATGGAAACGGTGCTTTATTCGCAAATGTTTTATGCAATATTCCAATTTTGCGCATAAGTTTAATTCGTAAATTTGGATGGAAACATAGCTATTGTTAAAGTGTACTGACAAATGTACCAACAAGCATTTATGGTAAACTAAAATATACTATTTAATGTATATGTCATGTTTTTAAATAGGTTACATTTGTAATTACACATTTGTAAAGATGGAGCTGCAGTTTATAGACATTTAAAATATATTAACTTTAAATGAAATTTGAACGGCATATTACAGTTTAAAATTATAATCATGTACTTTACATGTGTTTTAGTATGTTAGTCAACACATCAAAATGACTACTTTTAAAACATGATGAACGATAATTTAAAATGTACTTTAAAGTAAAACATTTAATTTAACATTATTGCCAAGTTCACTTTTTAAGAGTGTACAAAAGTGTTAAGAAATACAGTTATATAAGTGAACTCTAAGTACATTTAAGTGGTGTTTTATTTAATTAATATATTATTAGCAAGTGCAGTTTTTTTTTAAATACACTTTAGATTTTAATTACACTACAAGTGTTTATTCAATATAATTAAGTGCACGTCTTTTTCACAAGGGTCCTGTAAACAACCGAAATATGTACAGGATGGGAATAAAACTCCTTTAAAAAGCAGTGACAACCATATTTAGCTGCAGTGTGAACACACCCAAGGTTAATGTGTTTGGTCTTAGCGGAACAGATCTGCTACGCTGCTGCTGCAGAGCAAGTACCGAGTCTTGCTACTGCCAACACATCCACAGACATGCCGCTGTGAGCATGTAAGAAATACTGCTGCTGCACATTTAACATATGAAATAACCCCCATATATAGCATACATGAAATTACCCTGCAGCAGATTTATGCAGGTGGAGCTGGGGAAGGTGGAGGATTTCTGAAGCACGCTGCAACTGCTACAACAAGCACTAGCCAAGTATTTGAATACTGAGCAGCAAGTTCATTGGCTGCTGATACGAAAAGAACCAATCAGCTGCACCATGTGATAATGATGTCACTATGTCAGATTGAGTTCAGACTGCGCCATCTAGAGTTTCATGACAGAACTTTGGATTTCTTGAAGTGACCATAAGAATACACTGCTAACTGCCATGTGGAAGGGCCCTTTGTGAAAAGATTCTCATGTTTTTTGAAAATGAACCTCAGAGAAGCATCTCCGTCCCACAGTGGCCTTCAAGGAGCTTTAAAAAATACCATTAGGAATTTGCACTCTCAATATTCTCTACTGTGTCTCTGAGACAGACGGAGGAGGAGCAGATGTTTGCTAACCGCTAAACACTCGCGGTCAATTTAACGCATCCAAACACACACTCACGCCTGACTGACTGATCTCTGAGCTCCCTCACACCTGGGCCTCCTAATCAAACCTTTACCAGCAACATCGAGAAGCAGGGCCCTGTTACATGAAACACAAGCAGGAGAAATGTGATGAGGGAAGATGTGAAGGTGTGTGTGTGAACGCTAACTTACCCATGACACAACACGTCCGTTGAAACACGGTAGTTTGGCATTGTCATCAGATATCTCCTCCTTCACCACCCTGCAGAGACAACAGGTCTATTAAAATGTTTTTTATTAAAATGTAACAAATAAACATGAGTTGCACTCGAAATATAAAAGCAAGCACTGTGGTCTGTTGTCACGAATAACAAAATCCTCTTTAATTTGATTTTGCTTAATCACTTAAACCAATTATATGGTTTTGTTTGAGAAAGAAACTAGACTAAAGAAAATCTCAGTTCTGCCTTTGCTATGCAGTTGCTACATAGATCTAGCTGGTTGCTAGGTTGCTGTTGCGTTCTGTTGACTGATATGGCATCGCTAGGAGGTTGCTAAGGTGTTCTGAGTGGTTGCTAAATGGTTGCTTACTAGCTCATGTCAAAAAGAGGCCATAGTAAAATTGACGCTTGACTTAGCAAACACCCCTAAATAAGTAAAGCCACAATGATCAGCTCCATTTATAAACGGCCCCTCACACGTACACAGGTTAATTTAGTCTCCCATAAAATAAACCTCAGAGTCCCTCCCCCTTCCCAGCTGCTCCTTAAAAAGGTGCTGACCCCTCTGACTCCTGTCGCCATGGAAACCTTTGTCAAAAAGGAAGAGGGTGAAAGACAGCTGGCTGGAAAAGCACGTGAGGTTTGCAGAAACAGACCATGTGAGCTATTAATAATAAAAATCTATCGAGTGATCATGATTGCATTCATGCAATATAAATCAAAACCAGACGTCTATCTTTAATCACACACCAAAGCAGTGGTGACGAAACAGCGGCTGTGTTATAGAACAACAGTAATAATGCACACAGGACATGCTTATTGTTTCCCCTATAGACAAAATATATGAACTAGGGATGTGCATCTCCATAACTGAGGCCGATGCAATATGCATCTTGATGTATAGCCAATAGTGCTGCACAATAAATCGAAATGGAATCGAGATCGTGATTCGACAGAAGCTGCGATTGTCATGCGTATCTTTCAGTGAAGCACGGTTCTGTGATCAGCAGTAAATCTCCATCCAAAGGCCAGAGGGCGCTCTTGCGCTGAAACTCCAAATACGCCTCGCAGAAGAAACCCAGAAAATCGCTGCAGCTGAATAAACAGAAGATTCAACTGCTTTCATTGATTCAACGTAGGGGTGTGCGATATATATCGTCTGCGATAATATCGTAATTGTTGTTTTAACGATGTGCGATTTGACATTATCGAGTATTTTGCAAAAACCATTCAAAACATCCCTACAGAGCGCACGCATACATTACGTGAAGTCTAGACTAGTGCGTGTGCGCATTTAGTGTGTTTTCTTTCACTGCATGATTCAGTCTATTAAAATGCATTTAGAATGATCACAAATTCAAGACATGATGACAGAAAATTTATATATTTATACCACTTCATATAGTTATTCAATTTCACACGAAGAGTGCCGTTTTTCTCCAAAAATTACCATGATTACAAATGTGACATTGAATTCAATAAACAATAAGTTAATTAAGAGACTTACGTTTTAGACACCATATTGCCTGTTTTTTGCTCCATTTCGCCAACCAAAAATCATTCCAAATAGTCACCACAGAACAGTTCTGCGTCTCTGAGCAATGACGGTGTTTCGTTCCGAATGAATCAACCATTTAAATGATTCGGTTCAGTCGCAATGACTCA